GATGGTCTTTTCCACGTAAGAGGATTATATCCTCCGAGTATTTCCCCCGTTCCTTCGACTTTTAGAAGGATGATTGTGTCATTTATGTATTTGCTTTAATAAATAGTGATAACAGGTTTTATTGAATTGCACACGCAAGCACAATTATTAATACATATCGATATGTATAAACTGAGTTCTGGATGTAAATGCTCCGAAACAGTGTTCCAACGGGTTTTTAAGCACAAGCTGACCGGTTGGAGCAGGATAACATCCCTAAAAAAAACTATTTATCAATTGTGCAACCATATCGGAATCATCAATCATCTATGGTCGCTCCTGTTTACAGGGGTCACCAAAATTCCGGGTCGAATGCATCGGAATCCTGATCGGATGTGCCGGAATTGATTAATTTTGCCTATCACTAAAAATTTTACTAATAAAGTCATAGCCCATTCATTAAGTAAAAATGCCCAGTTGATAATTTTACTATAGACTATGTTAACTAACATTGCTTAATGCCGGACCAGTTCCGATGCATTCCTACCCGAAATTTTGGTGATCCCCCTGTAAAAAATGATTGTTGGTTGCAACGCATGTACGGTCGTACGTACGTACGTATCACGTATTACAAATTAAATTATAAAATGCACGGATGAGTGTTAATGAAAAAAAGGAACCATGGCGGATTCTCCGTTAGAAACATATATTAAAGAACAGAAGTTTACCCTTTTTGATTATACTGCCTTCGAAATTATTGGGCAAATTAAGGGTGGATTTGGAATTGTACGCAAGTCTATTTTGTTTAAAAACTTGGAAGTTGTGCTCAAAATTATACAAATTGACGAAGAAGACAAAATTAAAGAATCTGTTAGAGAAGTAATATATAATTTTGTTTAAATATCCCATTTGTTTTTCTATGAGATAAATTAAATGTAATAATGACAATTAAAATATACAGATTTTAATCTTACAACAAGTTAGCAATCACCCGAATATTATTGAGTTTTTTGGTGTAACTAAAGGTAATTCGCATACGAATACAATACTTTTTAATAAGTTTACCTAATAATTTTAGATTTCTATTAATACCTAATTTAATTAAAAATCAGATCCGACAAACAAGGATTTTCACATAATTTTAAAATTTGCCACTGATGGAAATTTGCGAGATTATTTGAAAGCCCATTTTTTGGGCTTACGGTGGACTGATAAATTACGTATTGCTAAAGAAATAACAACTGGCCTTTTATTCTTGCATAAGCGTGGTATCATTCATCGTGACCTTGTAAGTATATATAACATACCATCATATGGTTGTAGATACATTTAACTTACTTTTTAGTAGAATTCACCAACAGCCATTTTTCAACAATTTGCTTCTAGCCAACACTAATCTAATATAAATCGTGCTAAATTTGTTGCACAATGGCTGTCGGCTAAATACGTAGTTGCCATCAAAATCGGTTTATACTTAGCTAATTATTGAATTTTATATAATATAGCATTCTAAAAATATTTTAATTGATGAAGGAAAAGCCAAGATCGCAGATTTTGGCCATTCTAAACAGTTGGATGGGTCCTTACTTGTTACAGAGTCTAAAGTAAACGGGTTGGCGGCGTATATTGACCCACAATGCTTTAAGGAGACGGAAAATGATCATACGTATAGGCGCAATGAGAAATCTGACATTTATAGTTTGGGTGTAGTCCTCTGGGAAATTTCAAGTGGTCGACCACCATTTGAATCTAAATTGACAAGGCCACAATTGGCGATGGATATACTTAATGGATTGAGAGAAACGCCTGTAAATAACACTCCTGAAGAGTATATTATGCTTTACGAACGCTGCTGGGATGCTAATCCTGTGGAACGCCCCGAAACCGAATCGGTTTTGGAATGTTTAAAAAATATTGAACCTTTTCCTGAACGGCGATCTCTCTCTTCTCCAGATATAAAACTTCCAGAAACAATGTCAATTATAGAATTTAAAAGACGGCAAACTCACTCTTCTTCAGAGTCTTGAAATGAAGGTTCTGTGGAGAGTTCAGAAACAACTTCAATTATTAGCCGGCGCTCTCCTTCAGAAATATCTCAAGAATATTTATTTCCTTCTCTTTTAGAATCGACGTTAATTACCATAGAGCATGCATTTGAAATTGCATCCCAAATTTTCCAACCACAATACTATGATAGAATTCCATCAAAATTTAAATTACTTTTCAGAAATCGCGGAGGGTTTGATAGAAAGGTTTTTTTTGATAAATGCAGAAACATAAATGATACAATCATCCTTCTAAAAGTCGAAGGAACGGGGGAAATACTCGGAGGATATAATCCTCTTACGTGGAAAAGACCATC